GCACGCGACGGCTGAGCGGGCCTATGACCTGCACCCCACTCCGGAGAATAGAACTGCCATGCACTGCTGCCACGCCGAGTACCAGCTCCGACTCCTTATGGAGGAGGACTTCTGGATGCAGAAGGCGGCCATTCGCTGGGTGGCCGAGGGTGAGCGGAACACTAGGTTCTTCCAAGGCTACGTTAGGCAGAAGCGTGCTAAGTCGTACATCCATAGTATCGAGGTTGATGGGTCATCCTTGACCCAGGAGGCTCAGATTCGGGAGTCGGCTGTTGCTCACTTCCAGACCCTCTTCACCTCTGACAGAGGGTCCCTTGTGGCCCCGAACGCTTCTCTTTTCCCCACCATCCCTCCTTCGGTCGATCTCATTGGCCTCTGTGAGCTCCCGAGTAGGGAGGAGGTTAGGGATGCTGTATTCGGAATTGATCCCAATAGCGTTTCTGGCCCGGATGGTTTCTCCTCCCTCTTTTATCAGGTCTGCTGGGAACTAGTCGAGACTGACGTCGAGGAGGCGATGTTGGATTTTTTCTCCGGCCACCAGATGTCGGATTCCTTCACGTCTACCTCTGTCGTCTTGATCCCCAAAAGACCCAACCCGAGCTCTTGGTCCGATTACAGGCCCATCAGCCTGTGTAACGTGACCAACAAGCTCATTTCGAAGATCCTTAACGGCCATCTTTCCCCTCTTCTCCCTTCCCTCATCTCTCCAAACCAGAGTGGATTCGTCAAGGATCGGGTCATTAGTGATAACATCCTTTTGGCCCAGGAGATGATACACGACATCTTCGGTGCGGATTGGAAGCGGCCTCCGAATATCGCGCTGAAGCTAGATATGGCTAAAGCGTATGATAGGGTAGAGTGGCCGTTTCTTAGGGAGGCCCTGGCTAGGATGGGATTTTCTGACCGTTGGACTAGTTTTGTCGAGGCGTGCGTGGAGCACTGCACGTTCTCGGTCCTGGTCAATGGTAGCCCCACCGATTTCTTTCCCTCATCTAGAGGCCTTAGACAGGGTGACCCCCTGTCCCCCTCCCTTTTCGTCCTTGCGGCGGACTACCTCTCTCGCTGCCTTGACGGTTTCATCCGCGACTTTCCTCATATGACGTATAGCACCCGTGGCTATGGTCCTCCCATCTCTCACCTCTCTTACGCAGATGACATCATCATCTTCACCCGGGCGGGTGATGATGGACTGGTCGAGCTCATGTGCATTTTGGAGCACTATGGCTCGGTTACCGGTCAGCTGGTCAGTGTGCAGAAGAGCACATTCACCCTCTCCTCTTCCAGCGCGGCCAGGTGGGCTCAGCGAGTCCACGACATTACCGGCTTCGCGCGTGGCGACCTTCCGATTACCTACCTTGGCGTCCCTTTATATAAGGGCAACCTCACGAGAGCGCTCTTTGCGGACGTCAGGCAGAGGATGATCGACAGGATCTCTGGTTGGTCGCATAGACATCTTTCTTTCGGTGGTCGGCTTGCGCTGATCAAGAGCACTCTTAGCTCTTTTCCGATTCACTTGCTTATGGTCCTCGACCCCCCTAGGTTTACTCTTGACGAGATAGACCAGATTATGGCTCGTTATTTCTGGGGTTACGAGGACGGTTCTGGGAGGGGGAGACGTACTCACTGGGTGAGTTGAGACTCCATCTGTCGCCCCCTCCCCGAGGGTGGACTTGGCATCCGCCGCCTCAGGGACATTGTTACAGCTTTCTCATACAAGCTGTGGTGGCGCTTCAGGGAAGGAAAGTCGCTTTGGGCTCAGTACCTTCGCGGCAAGTACTGCCCTAGACGTGCCAACCACCCTTGTTGGGTGACGGCTGTTGATCATGATAGTAGGCAGTGGCGGCGCCTTACTAGGGTTGGTAGGCGCGCCCAGGATCACACTTTCTGGGTTCTAGGCGAGGGCGATGTTAGTTTCTGGGATGAGTGGTGGGTAGGTGATAGGCCGTTGTCTAGAGATATGCAGGTGTCGCATTCTCCCTACCTGCTTGTGAGCGACCTCTAGACAGACGGGTCGTGGGATAGGGGGAAGCTTGATAGGGAGTTGGGGTCTGGTGCGGGTTTTAGCGGGCATTTATTAGATCAGATCCAACAGATGTCTATCTCGGGAGACGGTTCAGATAGCATGAGGTGGAGACTTACATCATCGGGTGTGTTTTCTACTACCTCGGCTTGGGAGCAGATCAGGCTGAGGGATCGGCCTAATCTCCTCTTCGGGGCCATCTGGAGTGACCTTTTCACCCCTACTATTTCGGTGTTCCTTTGGTGCCTCCTCTTGCGCCGGATACCCGTCGATACTGTGCTACACGCGAGGGGGATCTCCTTCCCCTCTCGGTGTGTGTGTTGTTCTGAGACTGGACGCCATGAGACCGAGACCTTTATCCATCTTTTTCTAGAGAGTGAGATTGTGAGGAGAGTGTGGGAGCATTTTGCCACCTGGACTCATATATCCCTACCCACCACATACAGTTTCTTTGAGCTTCTGAGTTTTTTCTCACAGAGCACACACCTTAGACACATGGGCCTCATCATTCCTTGTCTGATCCTTTGGTTCACCTGGACAGAAAGAAATAGTGTGAAGCATAGGGATATTACTTTTATGTTTTCTCACATTGTTTTGCAGGTAGAGAGACACATTTCACTCCTCATCGCATTGGGCAGGCTCACGGCCCGAGACTGGACAGGCTGCACGTCACCACATTGATACATGGTGGCCCCACCACCGCCTGTTCGGCACCCTCGGCCCAGAGCTGTTGTTTGGCTTCGACCTGACTCTTCGTGGGTCAAGTTGAACACTGATGACTCCTTTGATCGCCACACTGGAGTAGCCGGAGGAGGAGGCTTGATCCGGGACCATAGGGGCGCCCTCATCACCGCCTTCCACGCGTTCCTTCAGGCCTCCTCGAGCTATGATGCAGAGATTCAGGCATTACAAATCGGCCCTCAGATTGCTGTCCACCTCTCTAGCCACATTTGGATCGAGCTAGACGCTGCGGCTGTCGCCACCCTTTTGACCTCGGGCCACCAGGGCTCGTGGCAGATTCAGCACCCGCTTATGCGTATTAGAGCTTTACTCCGGTCTGTCCATCACAGGATCACGCACATTTTCCGTGAGGGGAACAGACCCGCCGACTATCTTGCCAGCCTTGGCGCCACCATACCAGACACACATACATTCCAGACTGACACTGCTCCACTCCGCCTTCGCACGCTTGTTCGGATGGACCAGCTTGGATATCCATCTTTCCGATTTTAGTAGACTAGGTTTTTGCTTTCATTAGTCTAGACATTTACTTCGGGCATCTGTTAGCCCGAAGATCGACTTTGTATTGTAGTTCCTGGTTCTTTTTAGGTTTTCGGTTTTCCTTTTCTTTTGGGTTCTTTTATTTTTGTTTTTGATTTTGGTTCGTGACACTCTGTATACTATTGTATCTTGCTCGTTGATATTTTGGGCCCCGATTTTGGGGTCCTGATCTATGCACAGGTTGGGGATCCAGCCCAATCCCTTGCCCTTCTGGGGCGTTGTTTGTTTAAATAAAAAAAAAAAAACCTGACAACAAAAGACAACTAACCTAGCAGCAAGAAAGAAATAACCTAGCAACAAAAGACAACTAACCTAGCAGCATCAGACAACTAACCTAGCAGCAAGAAAGAACTAACCTAGCAACAAAAGACACACATACATTCCAGACTGACACTGCTCCACTCCGCCTTCGCACGCTTGTTCGGATGGACCAGCTTGGATATCCATCTTTCCGATTTTAGTAGACTAGGTTTTTGCTTTCATTAGTCTAGACATTTACTTCGGGCATCTGTTTGCCCGAAGATCGACTTTGTATTGTAGTTCCTGGTTCTTTTTAGGTTTTCGGTTTTCCTTTTCTTTTGGGTTCTTTTATTTTTGTTTTTGATTTTGGTTCGTGACACTCTGTAGACTATTGTATCTTTCTCGTTGATATTTTGGGCCCCGATTTTGGGGTTCTGATCTATGCACAGGTTGGGGATCCAGCCCAATCCCCCACCCTTCCAGGGAGTTGGTTGTTAAAAAAAAAATAAAAAAATAAACTAGCAACAAAAGACAACTAACCTAGCAGCAAGAAAAAAATAACCTAGCAACTTAAGACAACTAATCTAGTAACAAAACTCAACTAACCTAGCAGCTACAAATAACTAACCTTGCAACAAAACACAACTAATCTAGCAAGAAAGAAATAACATAACAAAAGACAAATGGTCAACGGTCAACGTCAGAAGTCAACGCCGGAGTCAACAGTCAACGTCGGAAGTCAACGGTCAACGCCGGAAGTCAACGGTCAATGGTCATAATAATATTTAAATAATTAAAAATAAAGAATTAAATAATAAAAATAAAGAATTATTATTTAAATTAAGATCTAAATTTTGTGGCTAGGAATGAGTCTCACGTCCTCGATTTAAATAATGAGATGCATTGGAACCAATCCCTATATATATATATATATATATATATATATAGAGAGAGAGAGAGAGAGAGAGAGAAGGGATCATATGAGAATGATTCCTTGTGAAAGAAATAAGAATGATTGTAGACCATTAGATCCAACATATTAATGGTCATGATAAAGTCAAAGTTAGTAATTATAGTCAAGCTCATTAAGGGTAATATGGTCATTCAACACTCATTAAGGGTAATTAAGTCATTTTAAATAATTCTTATCATGTGTGACCTAACTAATCACATCTCATCACTCTCACACAGTAACACACACCCACGAGCCACGACCCACATTCTCTCTCACACATATACACACACCCGCATTCTCTCTCACACATATACACACACCATCACATTCGCACACACACACGCACTACATCCACCCGGCCAAAACAGCAACACCAGGTCCTCTGCGCCGCCGGCTACCGTCCACCGCCGACCGCCATAGCCGACGACCACCTTGCCGGCATAGATCTGGCCTTCTCCAGACACCATACCCGTCTTTCTTCGCCATCGTCGGAGGCCCACCCCGTCAGTATGCTCTCGCTGGAATCAGACCAGCCACCGCCGTGAGAGGTGGCGGCCAGAGAGAAGCAACGGCAGACGAGAAGTGGCCTGAGGATGGTGACGACGAAGGCTGTGTATTGAGGGAATTGGGGGAGTTTAATTTCGAAAATTAAATAACTTTTATTCTCGGCCGGTAAAAATTTGGCTTGTATGTCGGAATTTCGGCGAATACCTGGGGTGTTGGCTGACGACGAAAAATGGGATCTTTGGGGATTTGATAGCCATGAGGAAGATGAGCGGGTGTTGATTGATTTAGGATTTTTTTTTTTTTTTTTTATGTTTTCGGAAACGCCATTAGTGGCTGCTGGGGCTTCTGATACAATTTGATGAAAAAGCCTGAAGATGAATCTTGATTGCGAGGGTTTTGCTATTTTCTGGCTTCTGATCTTGTGATGTTGAAATTGTCTATTCCTCTGTCTTCCGGTGTTAAGCATATAACATTTCAGATTGAAGTTGGAGCAGGCACGGTTATCAACGTGATTATTATGAAAAAACATGATTTATTTACATGATTTATTATTAAAAATTACATGATTTTCAAAAGTGTTAAGCAGGCCCACTTTAAAAATTACATAATTTATTATTAAAAAACATGATTACTATTTAATATTTTCTTATTTGATATTTATATTATTTTTTTGATTAAAAAATTAGTATATATGTAAACGAAATATAACGTGCAATCTAACAGTTATTAATGTGCAATTCGGCCAACATTATGGTGCACGGTTTGCAGATTGAACCAACCGAACTTTTGTCCCGAATCAAATTGAAAATGAACATAATTGATTTATTTAGTTCGATTAATCGAATTATCTTAAATAATCGTAATAATTTGTAAATTGTATTAAAATTATATTTAATATGTTAATAATTTTATTTATTATTTTCATATTATTTTTGGTTGAAAAGTTTTGAGTTCGGTCGGTTCGATCTCTATTGTGCAATATGTTAGTCGTGATAAAGTGCAACTTATTGTTCTATAAAGTTCAATGTACTGTTTTATAAAGTGCAACGTGATGATGTATAAAATTTAGCTACTGTAATTTTCGTACATTATCATGCTTGTGTTGTTGCTTGGATAAATGATGTGATTGATTTTAAAGTATTTTGTATATCCGTTTTAAATTTACGTTGTGTGGTATTTTGGCGGGAGTTGTTGATGTTAGTTGTCGATTGTAGTGATAAAGTGCAACGTGTTGTTTTATAAAGTGCATCGTGCTGATATATAAAATGCACTACTTTAAATGATCACATAAAACTTACGTATTTTTTAAAATTATATTTTAATAGATATAATTGTACATCTAATTAACTTAAATAATTGAAATAATTTATTATAAAAGTATTTTTATTATTTTATTTTATTTTTGTGCAAATTCAACCTGAAATCGAACCGAAATATTTTAGTTATTTTGTTGGTTAATCAAATTTACCTAAATAATCAAACTTTTATTATTTATAATATATAAATATATCAAGTATGTTAATATGTCTATGCAATATTTTATATTATTTTTTTTATGCTAATTCAACTTGAAATTGAACCGAAATAATTGAGTCGTTTTGTTTGTTAATCAAATTGACCTAAATAATCAAACTAATTTATTATTTTTATTTTAGATACCCAAAATGTATATAATATATATATTTATAATAAAATAATATTTTTTCATATAGTATGATCGGTTTAGTTATATTAAACAATAAAGTTGACATCGCACCAAGATAACCAAAATTTTAAAAGTAAACACAAATAATCGAAGAAAAACATACAGTTCGAACCCAAAGCTTTGTGTGTCCGTTTCAACCGCTATAGTGCAATCTGATAATCAATAATGTGCAATTCGTGCAACATTAATGTGCACTCGAAGTGCAACTATTTGTATAAAAATAAATTTAGTATTCTAATATTTTAATTGATATTTGTATACTATTTTTTGGTTGAAAAAATATGATATATACATATGTATAAAAGTATAAAAATATATATAAAAAATAATAAATTACAAAATAGAGTTAATTTCATAACAATTTGTGTGCTGCTGTTATTTGCATTTGGTACAAAATTGTCTTTCAATGTCCCAAACACTTGTCCCTTTCCTTGCTAAATAAGAAAAAAAAAAAGAAATCCCATCAAATTTCTCTTTTTCTCTCAATATCCCCCAATGGAGAAACTGAATGCTGGTTAGAAATGAATGTTTTCACTTTTAAATAGCAAAAATCAATAGCATTGTTATTTGCGGAAAACTTGATGTACAGCTTACGTAGTGCAAAATATTGACTTGTTTTGATTTGGAGTTAATTTCATCTCTTGAGTTTAGCAAAAATCATTAACTATGTTATTTATCGAAGTTTAATGCATTGGTAAGTATTGCAGAGCAACTTGTGGAGCTAGCTTGATTTAAGTTCACTCAGAAATTTGTTACACAGCAACCTACAGTAGTCTATTGTGGAAAAAAAATGGCTACAATGCCAGGTTAGAAATATCCATTAATCCAACAACAATTACCATCAACCATGAATTTCTATCTAGAGACTCGGACACAAAATTCTAGATATATATAAAAATAATATTTATTTATATTATTTTTATAAATTACAGAATTGCAATCAAATCCTTGAACAACCACGACTGAAGTATTTGTCGCCTGATGTGTAGTCGCCCCGCCACCATCGGCGATTCTCGCCGGCGATTCTACTAATGCTGAAGATGGAGACCTTCGTCGGATGAAAAGTACGCTGTAGACGAGGACGACGACGAAGTTTGACGGCTGCCACCGCCGTTGTCTCAAAGAGTCCCTCCGGCGGTCGAGGACGTTGCCGGCGGAGTTTGACGGCTCCAGTGGTCGACGGCGAGTCTGCGAGCCTGGTTCATGTCGCCATAGAAAGCGCCGTTGTTGTGGCCACAGATACCGCGACGGGCAGACGCCGGTGACCTGCGGGAACGGAACTTTTTTTTTTAATCTGTAGAGGGAACCGATTTTTAGTTGCAGAGGTGCTTGTGTGTGCGTGAGAGAGAGAGAAAGAGGGGGTGGGGGAAGAGAGAGAGAGTGAATTTGAGTGAGAGATTGGTGTCACGTGAAGAGGTGTGTTTGGTTAGGGTGGTCCCACTAATAATGGATTGTTGAGAAATGTCTAGGTTGCCCTTACTTAATGTAAAATTGTTGATTCTTTTTTATCGTTAGATGATTCAATCCGACGAATATGATGTATTCTTATATATTACAATTAAGTGACGTTAAAAACAGAGAGACAATTAACAAAACTTTTCTTTTTATATTTTAATAATTTCCTCTACTAATACTTCAATTATTATTTTCACCTAGTTTTAAATTTTATATATGTATATAAATCAAAAATAGTATTAAACAAATAATAATTAAAATAAGAAATCTATCTTGAAACGAAACTACTCTAGTGAAAAGTGTCGATCATAACAATAATTTTAGTTTTATCATTCAATTGTATTGAATGATAGATAATTGAATGATAGATTGGACATTATTATTTGACAAAAATTCTAATGTAATTCTTTTTTATGGTTTATTAAAAATAATATATATTTATATATATAATTTGAAATTAAAAAAAATATTAATCATGCGCTACATGAATAATTGCCGTGCAATTTGCTAGTGTATTAGACGGGATCTACATATTAAATACATCAGTAGCACTGCCATATATCTAATGCAAAATACAATAGATTCATATTTCAAATTAATCTTCATATATTAAATTGAATTTGTAATCAGGTTCATATTTCAAATTGGATTTGTAATCAGCTTATTTGATCCATTCAGCTCAAAGCAAAAATAAAACCCCCACTTACTAAATCTTGATTTCTAAAATAGGTGCATCTTAGCAATAAATAAATAAATGTATATGTTAGCAAATAATCCCTTTGCACATGGATTCTTTTTCCACCTCATTCTTAGCTTGCACGTATTTCACATGCATTCCTTTTTACCCATGGAGTACAAAGACCGTTGGGTCTCTTTGTTGTTTTGCACGGCTCATAGCCTTATCTTTTCCTTTTCTAGATCTTTCCCAGCTAGCTATATATATGTTGATTTTGTGTATCCAAACCCTAACGAGTAATGCAATCTTTCTGCAGCTTTCTAGCTCTAACTTTCTATTATTGTTGAGTTCTTTTCTGTTGAACATAAAGGATGATTTTATTTATCTCCAACAGTATAAAATAAAATAATAGGGAAAAAAAATACTAGCCAATATCAATTGCATACAGTACTAAATACTATACCTATTCAAGCTTATTTATTTATTTATTTATTTATTAATACTTATTCAAGCTTGTCTCATATGTATATGCACAAGGTTGACCATAATTCAAGTAATCTACAACTTTTGAGTAGAGAGTTTTAGAAATTGCCACACTAACTATAGAAAAGAGTCAAAAGACTGTTAATGCATGGAAACAAAATTGACTAGTTCATATCACTACCATATATCTAATACAGAGCATAGTAGGTTCACATTTCAAATTAATCATCATATTTCAAATTGGATTTGTGACCAACTTATTTGATTATTGAGCTTAAAGCAAAAATTAAACTAAATCTTGATTTCTAAAATAGGTACATCTTAGCAAAATAATAATAATAATAATAATAATAATAATAATAATAATAATAATACATAAATAAATAAAAGGAAATTAGAAAGAAAAAGAGAGCTAAAAAGTACAGTACTAGCCAAGATTGACCGTAATTCAAATAATCTTTAATTTTTTGAGTAGAATGTTTTAAAAATTGTCACGCTCAAAGATAGAAATGATCGTTAATGCATGGAAACAAAAGTGACTAATTGACTTGCTTCAAATCCTTTTTTTTTTTCTAATGTTTTTCTAAAAGTTCAATGGCCACTCTTAACTTGCTATATAAAACTGAAAATAGAAACTTTGGTTATATCTCAAATAAAATACAGAGTTAGGCTAAACGTCCACAATAATAAGATGTAGAGAGTAAATGTCTACCTTTAAATTTTATGAAGTGCACAATAAATTATTTGAAGTTTGAAGTAGCCAACCATTTCCATCGAAAATGTGACCATCAACTAGCTATTTATTTTGGTGTTTTTTTTACCTCATTAGTAAATGGAAAGAGAAAAAGGAATTTGTCACGATCACCTCTTAATTTTTATTTATCCTCGGTCTTGATAATAAATTTATTATTTAAAAAAAAAAGTTTAACCACACATAATTGCAAAAATATTTTAAAAACATTAATTGTTGCAAAATATTGTTTGTAGTGTTTACCAGAAATAGGGTTAGGATTTCGGTGGAATCTCATGACGTGTCTTCACAAACACTTGAGGTATATGTCTAATTTGTGTAAGTTTTCATTTTATTTTCTACTTATAATGTGAAACCTGATATTCCATTACATGGTTTTGACCATGCTCCATAATTTTGAAAAAACAATAAAGTATATGAAAAATGTGAGACAAGATTTTTACTAAGAATACTATTATACTTAATAGCAAGGTTTACCATATATAACTCGTTCTGAGTAATCTTTAACTTTTGAGTAGAAAGTTTTGAAACTTGCCACACTCAAAGATAAGATTATTAATGCATGAAAACAACAAAAGTAGTCTGACTACCTGACTTGATGCAAATCCTTGTTTTGTCTTTTTTTTTTCATTTGTTTTATTAGCTCAACGAAAGTTAAAACTTGCAACATCAAATGTAGAAAGGATTAATAATGCATGGAAACATAAGTTGACTTGTTTCAAATCCTTTTTTTTGTTGTTCTTTTTTCTGTTTTTTCCTACAAGTTCAACTGCCACTCTCAACATGCTATATAAAATTCAAAATAACAACTTTTGTTTAGGCGGATCAGTTTCTATGCATGCATGTGACTAAAGGTTTCTTTATGCCATATAAAACCAAATGACTACTAAAAGGATATTGATACTGCCATGACTTCAAGTAAAAGCAAGAAATATTTTGAACAAGAAAATCACAAGCTCAACAATTCGAATGCATTAAATGAAAGTTGCTATCATGCAGGTTGAGTCTACTACAATATATATAGGCTACCTTCTAGGGTTACCATATGATCTAGAATCCTCTAAAATGATCCAACGGTCACAAGAGGATCAATGGTTAAAAAGAGAACCAACTCATGCATCGTACACCATGCAAGAAGACAAAATCTGTTAGGAAAGTAAAGGATTGAGCTGGAGGTATTTTATCCACATGGCAGCATGGCACTCGTCCTTCATGAAGTAATTAGATTAGGTTTGCTTAGAGCATCTTTAACAACAGGTTTTGGGAGAGGTTTAAAATTGTAAACCTTAAGGTTTACCACTAAAGTGGACATGTTTAAGGTTTATAAATTCAAACTCGGTTTCCATTTCCAAACCTCCGGAAAAGCTGTAATAAATTTATTTAAAAAATAAAATAAAAAGATTTGATGGGAGTATTGAAAGTCACGGCTCACATCTCATCCTTTAGTTTGCAGCGCGTGGAAGACACTTGCTGGTAATTGTGTGATAACCTTATTGCAATGGATGGCCCACCTCCTGCCAAGCTCCCACTCCTTTTGCTTCTCTTTATTTTTATTCCATTTATTGTTTTTCAATTAATTGTTAATTCTTGGAACCGTCCCACTCCTTTGCATTCTCTTTATTTTCATTTTTCAATTAATATTTTATTCATGGAACATGTAAAACACAACTATTTGCAATAAAAATAAATTTAATTCTTTTCTTAATGGATGTGAAGATAAAAAATCTGAATTATTTTAGAATAATATTATATTTAGTTCTTTTATTTATTTTTTAATTATATTAACAAATGTTATATGCTACTTTATTGAATTTCTATAACTTTTGACCATGGTTAGGACCATGCTACATTATAATTATTTTATAATGTGAAACTTGATATCCCATTACATGGTTTTGACCATGCTTCATAATTTTGGAAAAACAATAAAGTATACGAAAAAAGTGAGACAAGATTTTTTATTAAGAATACTATTATATTTAAGAGCAAGGTTTACCATATATAACTCGTTCGGAGTAATCTCTAACTTTTGAGTAGAAAGTTTTGAAACTTGTCACACTCAAAGATAGGATTATTAATGCATGGAAACAACAAAAGTAGTCAGACTACCTGACTTGATGCAAATCCTTGTTTTTTTTTTTTTTTTTTCATTTGTTTTATTAGCTCAACGAAAGTTAAAACTTGCCACAGTCAAATATAGCAAAGATTAATAATGCATGGAAACAAAAGTTGATTTGTTTCAAATCCATTTTTTTTCTTCTTTTTTCTGTTCTTTCCTACAAGTTCAACTGCCACTCTCAACATGCTATATAAAATTGAAAATAGCAACTATTGTTTCGGCGGATCAGTTTCTATGAATGCATGTGACTGTAGGTTTCTTTATACCATATAAAACCAAATGACTACTGAAAGGATATTGATGCTGCCATGACTTAAAGTGAAAGCAAGAAATATCTTGAACAAGAAAATCACAAGCTCAACAATTCGAATGCATTAAATGAAAGTTGCTATCATGCAGGCTGAGTCTACTACAATATATATAGGCTACCTTCTAGGGTTACCATATGATCTAGAATCCTCTAAAATGATCCAACGGTCACAAGAGGATCAATGGTTAAAAAGAGAACCAACTCATGCATCGTACACCATGCAAGGAGACAAAATCTGTTAGGAAAGTAAAGGATTGAGCTGGAGGTATTTCATCCACATGGCAGCATGGCACTCGTCCTTGGTGAGGTAATTAGATTAGGTTTGCTTAGAGCATCTTTAACAACATGTTTTGGGAGAGGTTTAAAATTGTAAACCTTAAGGTTTACCACTAAAGTGGGCAGGTTTACGGTTTAGAAATTCAAACCCGGTTTCCATTTCCAAACCTCCGGAAAAGCTGTAATAAATTTATTTAAAAATGAAATAAAAAGATTTGATGGGAGTATTGAAAGTCACGGCTCACATCTCCTCCTTTAGTTTGCAGCGCGTGGAAGACACTTATTGGTAATTGTGTGATAACCTTATTGCAACGGATTGCCCACCTCCTGCCAAGCTCCCACTCCTTTTTCCTACTCTTTATTTTTATTCCATTTATTGTTTTTTAATTAATTGTTAATTCTTGGAGCCGTCCCACTCCTTTGCATTCTCTTTATTTTCATTTAATTTTTTGTTTTTCAATTAATATTTTATTCATGGAACATGTAAAACACAACTATTTGCAATAAAAATAAATTTTAATTCTTTTCTTAATGGATGTGAGGATAAAAAATCTAAATTATTTTAGAATAACATTATATTTAGTTCTTTCATTTATTTTATAATTATATTAACAAATGTTATATGCTACTTTATTGAATTTCTATAACTTTTGACCACGGTTTTGACCATTCTACTTTATAATTATTTTATAATGTGAAACCTGATATCTCATTACATGGTTTTGACCATGCTTCATAATTTTGGACAAACAATAAAGTATATGAAAAAATTGAGACAAGATTTTTACTAAGAATACTATTAAACTTAATAGCAAGGTTTACCATATATAACTCGTTCTGAGTAATCTTTAACTTTTGAGTAGAAAGTTTTGAAACTTGCCACACTCAAAGATAGGATTATTAATGCATGGAAACAACAAAAGTAGTCTGACTACCTGACTTGATGCAAATCCTTGTTTTGTTTTTTTTTCATTTGTTTTATTAGCTCAACGAAAGTTAAAACTTGCCACAGTCACATGTAGAAAGGATTAATAATGCATGGAAACATAAGTTGACTTGTTTCAAATCCTTTGTTTTTTGTTCTTTTTTCTGTTTTTTCCTACAAGTTCAACTGCCACTCTCAACATGCTATATAAAATTGAAAATAGCAACTTTTGTTTAGGCGGATCAGTTTCTATGCATGCATGTGGCTGTAGGTTTCTTTATGCCATATAAAACCAAATGATTACTAAAAGGATATTGATGCTGCCATGACTTAAAGTGAAAGCAAGAAATATCTGGAATAAGAAAATCACAAGCTCAACAATTCGAATGCATTAAATGAAAGTTGCTATCATGCAGGCTGAGTCTACTACAATATATATAGGCTACCTTCTGGGGTTACCATATGATCTAGAATCCTCTAAAATGATCCAACGGTCACAAGTGGATGAAGGATTAAAAAGAGAACCAACTCATGCATCATGCACCATGCAAGGAGACAAAATATGTTAGGAAAGTAAAGGATTGAGCTGGAGGTATTTTATCCACATGGCAGCATGGCACTCTTTCTTGGTGAGGTAATTAGATTAGGTTTGCTTAGAGCATCTTTGACAACAGGTTTTGGGAGAGGTTTAAAATTGTAAACTTTAAGGTTTACCACTAAAGTGGACAGGTTTAACGTTTAGAAATTCAAACCCGGTTTCCATTTCCAAACCTCCGGAAAAGCTGTAATAAATTTATTTAAAAAATGAAATAAAAAGATTAGATGGGAGTATTGAAAGTCACGACTCACATCTCCTCCTTTAGTTTGCAGCGCGTGGAAAACACTTACTGGTAATTGTGTGATAACCTTATTGCAATGGATGGCCCACCTCCTGCCAAGCTCCCACTCCTTTTGCCTTCTCTTTATATTTATTCCATTTATTGTTTTTTAATTAATTGTTAATTCTTGGAGCCGTCCCACTCCTTCTCATTCTCTTTATTTTCATTTAATTTTTTGTTTTTACAATTAATATTTTATTCATGGAACATGTAAAACACAACTATTTGCAATAAAAATAAATTTTAATTCTTTTCTTAATGGAAGTGAGGATAAAAAATCTGAATTATTTTAGAATAATATTATATTTAGTTCTTTTATTTATTTTATAATTATATTAACAAATGTTATATGCTACTTTATTGAATTTCTATAACTTTTGACCATGGTTTTGAACATGCTACTTTATAATTATTTTATAATGTGAAACCTGATATCCCATTACATTGTTTTGACCATGCTTCATAGTTTTGGAAAAACAATAAAGTATATGAAAATAGTGAGACAAGATTTTTACTAAGAATACTATGATACTTAATAGCAAGGTTTACCATATATAACTCATTATGAGTAATCTTTAACTTTTGAGTAGAAAGTTTTGAAACTTGCCACACTCAAAGATAGGACTATTAATGCATGGAAACAACAAAAGTAGTCTGACTACCTGACTTGATGCAAATCCTTGTTTTGTCTTTTTTTTTTCATTTGTTTTATTAGCTCAACGAAAGTTAAAACTTGCAACATCAAATGTAGAAAGGATTAATAATGCATGGAAACATAAGTTGACTTGTTTCAAATCCTTTTTTTTGTTGTTCTTTTTTCTGTTTTTTCCTACAAGTTCAACTGCCACTCTCAACATGCTATATAAAATTTAAAATAGCAACTTTTGTTTAGGCGGATCAGTTTCTATGCATGCATGTGACTGTAGGTTTCTTTATGCCATATAAAACCAAATGACTACTAAAAGGATATTGATGCTGCCATGACTTAAAGTGAAAGCAAGAAATATCTTGAACAAGAAAATCACAAGCTCAACAATTCGAATGCATTAAATGAAAGTTGCTATCATGCAGGCTGAGTCTACTACAATATATATAGGCTACCTTCTGGGGTTACCATATGATCTAGAATCCTCTAAAATGATCCAACGGTCACAAGTGGATCAAGGATTAAAAAGAGAACCAACTCATGCATCGTGCACCATGCAAGGAGACAAAATATGTTAGGAAAGTAAAGGATTGAGCTGGAGGTATTTTATCCACATGGCAGCATGGCACTCTTTCTTGGTGAGGTAATTAGATTAGGTTTGCTTAGAGCATCTTTGACAACAGGTTTTGGGAGAGGTTTAAAATTGTAAACTTTAAGGTTTACCACTAAAGTGGACAGGTTTAAGGTTTAGAAATTCAAACCCGGTTTCCATTTCCAAACCTCCGGAAAAGCTGTAATAAATTTATTTAAAAAATGAAATAAAAAGATTTGATGGGAGTATTGAAAGTCACGGCTCACATCTCCTCCTTTAGTTTGCAGCGCGTGGAAAAC